ATTTCCAAGCAAACCTCTGATCAGCCAAAATTGTTTGCATTCTGAAATACATTCAGGAACATGAAAACTGTGCTTTTTAGCTATCATAGTTTAACAGCATTGAAAAGGCAATGTCAGCCTTAAAATTTAAGCAGTCAGAAGTTCCTACCTCCATACTTAGATGAAAGTGTTGGTTTCCCTGTCACTATGTATGAGGTTTTCAGGTGAGGGGTTTTTGTGCTTATTCATCTTTGTGTATGTAAGCTAACTTGTGTGACAACTTTTCAAGCAGTAAGATTTAGATATGCAAATTTATCCAGACCTGTGCCTGAATGTGAAGTTCTGTGCTTTGAAAATTAAGGCCTGTATCCATACAAAGTTCTTAATTTACCCCTTCTATTTTTGTATATATATTGGTGAAAGTGAAAAGTTTTGAAAACCCCAAAGAGAAGCAGCCAGTAGAGCAAAACTAAAGAAACAAATGTGAACTTTCTGATCTATTAGAAATTGAATTACAGTATAGCATGACAGGGGAGATTGGGAAGGTACAACTGAGATAAAGCAGTAATTCCACTTACTGAAAAGATGGTTACCAGATACTGGGCAAAATCTTCCTTTTGCAGGTAATCTAAATATTCCCAGATTTCACTGTAAGGGGGAGATGTGCAGAAGTGAAGCAGATCACAGTAACTACAGTGTGAAGTCCCAGCTGGTGTAAATGTGTCAGCTCAGTTTAGCACAGAGTGTGTTTGCACACACACATCTGTAAGCACAGATCAGCTCTGTAAGGTGCTTCTTCCCAGTCAGCTGGCTAAATGCTGATGTGATCACTCTCTTATCTTTGCAGGTGCGTCTGCGGGACAGGAAGGACTCTCCTCAGTTGCTCATGGATGCCAAACACATCTTCCCTGTTACTTTCCCCTTCAATCCATCCTCTCTGGCTTTAGAAACCATTCAGATCCCAGCCAGTTTGGGCCTGGGCTTCATATCACGTGTGTGATCCCCAGGATGTCCCGTCAGTGTTAGATGGAGAACCAGTTGCCTGATGTCTGTACCTGTTCAAATGTAGTGAGCCACTAAACCCACGTTTTTCTGAACAAAAGCCTGTCTAAGCCCAGGTGTGTAGTTAAGGTAGCTGGGAACTGCACAGCAGCACCACAGGCTGAAGGCTCATAGAAAGATGTGCATTTGTGCTCATTGGTCGCTGCATTGATGCGGACATCACTGATTTGTACATGTCCAGAGTATGGAAATCGGGCTTGGACAAAAATTGTGTCTTCAGCTGTCTAGAGACATTTTTAGATCTTTAGTAACATATTTAAATAGTGTAAATTAAAATCCATATGTAATCTTCTCATAGGTGGGGACCAATAGGGACAGTCACAGTCCTGGACATGGAAGACTTGAAAGTAAGGCATTTTGTAGTAGAATACACAGTCACGTGGGAGCCTGTTACATTTAATTTGTAAAAACGGAATGGAAAAACACAAACTGGCAATATATCAAGTTATTTCTTAAACCACTTCCTCATTTATGTCAGTTTGACATAAATTGTAGTGATAAGTCCTATAGCTCACTATATGCTGTAACTTAGGTGTTTATTTGTTAGAACTGTGGTTTACCAAGCAAACTAAATCGCTGCTGCATATTCTGTTGTTTTAAATGTATGACAGTATCATACTAAGCACTAAAAATAAGATACTTCATTTTTTTGTTGTCAACCTTACTTACAGTCTGTTGCAGTCTGTTATTTTAACTGGAATTTTGCACATTGTATCAAGTAACACATGTAGAGGAAAATGGTAACTAAGCACAAGTAGCACACTGGAAATTACACATTTAGTTATTTTTAAAAGTAGTTAGCTAAAAATACAGAATCTTGAAGCAAACGATCAGAAGTCAGTAATGATTTTAGTATTTATTTAGGTTATAGAGTCTGTCTAATGTTGTTCTTTGTTTGTAGACCCCAGAGATGACAATGTGTATTTTAAGTATAATCTCTTGGTTTTATGCCACTTAAAAAAAAATAATAACAACAGAGAAAAGTCTTCTTTCACACTGGAATATGAGAGGACAAACTTTAATAGAAAATTTCTGCAGTAGCCCAAGGCTCTCGTTCTTAGAAAGGTTGACTAACAAGAAAGTTAAGTAGGTTTTGACTATGATGCTGTCACTTGACTATGATTCATGCTGATTTAATGGTTGGAAATCAGAGTGCATAATGAGAAACTGAGTTACTTTGAATGTTGCACATTTTACTGGAAAGATTCTTCTGTCTCACACATCTTGGATCTGCTATAAAAAACTCACATTTCACAATGTGAGGCATATTGGAGCGTGGAGGCCTCGTGTAAGGTTCCAGTTCTGTGGTGGATGGCTCAAACATAGATGTAAAAATAAAGCCACACACGTTGCTCAGTTGCGTTGTGCAATATTTTTAATGTATTATAATAATCTGCATCTTAGTGTTAACGTTAATTTATTTTACAATATTGGTAAATAACCTAGAGGTACACTATTAGACTGTTTGGTGCTCCTCTGTTTGCCTGCAAATTCACAGAGAAAAGATTTGCTGTTAAGCAGACTGAAACATTTCAGTTTTGTTTTACTTGAAAGGCAGACGTGCTGTTTGTATGGTTGCTAAAATTGGAAATAAAGACAACATAAACTTTCTCAGAATCATTTGAAGATGCTCCTATCATCTTGTATTCAAATGTCCCACAATACATTTGATGGATCATGCCAGTACTTCCAAGAATTGATACTGCATTGTGAAAGGGTTCTGAATGATCTTTGCTAAATGATTGAGGTTCTCCTCTGCACCAAATACCAAACACTCCTTTTTCAAAGGTTACTTGATTTGTGAGATTCTGGCTGCTGTGAAGTGGCTGCAAATAAGGTGTAAGGTCGTTTTCAGACTGTCAGGTACTGTACTTGTGAGAATGTAATGGCAAAGCCTTCGCATCCAGTAACAGGGTTAGGAAAGAAAACACCTGAGAACATGCTGACCTCCCAATTTTTTTTTCCTATTGAAAAACAAACAATTGGCATTACAGTATGTTCATACTGTAGATCAGGAAATGTATCCACTACTTAAGCGTTAGTGTTTAAAATGTATGCCTCAATGTATTTTTTGTTTATTTTTGAAGTTTGTTTACCTGTAAAAAGCCTTATTGTATTGTTTCCTTAAAAAAAAATAGTGTCTAGTAATTTATAGGTATCATCCTTTAACTCAGTGGTTGGACTGGTATTACTTTTATATCACATTAAAAGTATATGCTGCTTGACATGTTTTAAAGGAAAATATTTTTGAGTTGGAATAGATGTGTAGTTGGTAATTCATCTAACATTTTACATGGCAGTATTTTACATGCACTTTTCAGAAGTAAAATTTTAGTGTGAGTGTATAATATAACTTTCACCTTAGGACTAAAATCTCTTTAACCATGGAATATAATGCAGAATTATTTTAAAAACTTTTTTTTTTCCTTTGAATCATTGTTATGCTCTTTTAATGTGGACATATCTTTTATATTTTAATTTATTATCTATTGAGATGATAGATTTTATCAGATGCTGGAAAAATACTTGTCAATGACCCCTTAGAAATATATACAGTTATTCTACAGATTTTGCACAATAATTACCTCATTCAGTTTGGTGTATTTTTATTCCAGTGATCATTTTATTCTGACGTTTAGGACACAGTCTTCTATCCAAATTTTGAAAAATAGCTTCTCACACTTCAGACTGGGATGGAACATAAAAGTGCTTAAGTCAGTTAACTGAGATTAATCTATTATAGGAAAAAGTAGCATCAGCTTCATTGAAAGTGGATTGATATCCAGCAACATTTGTTCCCAACTTGGAAACACCAGCAATTGCAATTTGAAGGTCTATATGTAATTTGTGATTTAAACTGAACACATTTCAAATACCATACTAAAACTATGAGTAAACACTTGGGTTTTTTAAGATGCTGATACTTCATGCGATGAGGAAAAGCCTTTAAACATAGGTTTTCACTTGATGCCACTACAGTACATAGATGAAAAACAAAACATTGTCAGAATTACCTGAGCTCTGATCTGTTGTAGTGTCTGATGTTGTACTTAGTAAATGTATGCATCATAAAAACTGTAGCCTAATAGCTATCACTGGAAAATGTCCAAATAAAAGTACAACTGTACAGTTTGTTTCAGGGTGTTTTTGGTTGGTTGGTGGCTTGTGAGCTGTGTGCTGGCATAGACCTCAGCTGGTCACAGGTTTCCCTCTGCCTCCATGGCAGGCTTGGTGTTGACTGCCAAGGGAGTTGGTTAAAATCTGAGGATGTGTAAATACACACCCAGATAGCAGCAGTGTGCCATAAACTGCTGTACTTATGGGAGAATGCTTTGTTCAACATAACCCAGTTCTGGTTAGGGTGTTTTGTCATCTAATATTAACTGTTCCTGAAATAAAATTTGAGTAACTGCACTAAAACATTCCCTTGTGTGCTATGGAAGCTCCTCATGTCAGGTGGGGAGGGCTGGTGGGTCTTGGCATGTATCCACCTGCTAAAACACAGCACTGTGAGGTTATTCAAGTCTTCTTCCTCATAAAGAATATTCAACTGTAGCACCTTGTCAGCGCTTTAAACCTACTACATGCACTCAGAATTGTTAATTTTTATCTTATTCTGAGCTTGTCATAGAAATTCCTTTACAGCGCTTTTCGGGCCGTGATTAATGTTTCTGTTGGTTTTCTCCGCTGGGTCAGGACTGCTCCCCGGGGACCCTCTGGCAGCCGCAGTGTCCATCACTCCGGGTCCCTAAAGGTGTATCCGAGGTGTGCCAGCACGGTGAGTGGGGGCACGGACAGAGCCGGGATCCCGCTGCCCGTGCCGGCTGCCGGGCCCAGCGGGCAGGGCCGGGGCCGGGCGGGGAGCGCCGAGCGGGGCAGGGCCGCTCCCCACGCCCCGGGGCGGGGGCCGGGCCGGGCCGCGGCACCTGCGGGACCGGGCAGCCGCGGCTTGTGCCCCGATGGCGCTGGCCGAGCTCTACACGCAGGTGAGCGGGGCTGGGGAACGGCAAGGGGCCGGGAGGGTTCCGCCGGAGCCGGGCTGGGGCTGGGAAGGGCCCAGGGCAAGGGGCCGGGAGGGTTCCGCCGGAGCCGGGCTGGGCAAGGGCTCAGGGCAAGGGGCCGGGAGGGTTCCGCCGGAGCCGGGCTGGGCAAGGGCTCAGGGCAAGGGGCCGTGCGGGCTCCGCCGGAACGGGGCTGGGGCTGGGGCTGGGCAAGAGCCCAGGGCAAGGGGCTGGGGCTGGGGCTGTGAAGGGCTCAGGGCAAGGGGCCGTGCGGGCTGTGCCGGAGCGGGGCTCGGAAGGGCTCAGGGCAAGGGGCGTGCGGGCTGTGCCGGAGCGGGGCTGGGGAAGGGCTCAGGGCAAGGGGCCGTGCGGGCTGTGCCGGAGCGGGGCTGGGGAAGGGCTCAGGGCAAGGGGCCGTGCGGGCTGTGCCGGAGCGGGGCTGGGGAAGGGCTCAGGGCAAGGGGCCGTGCGGGCTGTGCCGGAGCGGGGCTGGGGAAGGGCTCAGGGGAAGGGGCTGTGCCGGAGCGGGGCTGGGGAAGGGCTCAGGGGAAGGGGCCGTTCCGGAGCGCTTGGTGCCCGCGGGCGGTGGGCACAGCGCGGAGCCGCCCGTGCGGGACAGCGCACCACAGGGAGGGAGACACTTCTCTTTGAGATAAACACTCCTTTAGTGAGAGTCTCGGCCTCCGGGAGCAGGTCTCGCTGCTCCAGCCAGCGATTAGGCGGCGTGAAGGTTTAACTGCCCTTCCCTGGGCGCTCAGGCTCGGAGCGCCGCGCTTTCTGTTGGGCAAATATTGAATGTGTGCGGCAGAGCTTGGCCCTAAAGCAAAGATTCTTCCTCCTTAATGCGCCCGCTGAAACTTTTGCACAACTTTTCCCTCTTCTCCTGTAGTCACCGGAGCGTTGTGACGTATCGTTTGTTTGCTTAGCTTTAAATAACAAACCAACAGGGGTATGTTGGTGATTTAGTGAGCCTGTCCCTCATCTATGGCAGCAGCAGCTGCTCCCATGGAGCTGCAGGTGGGTCCCGCTGCTGCTGCTGCCGCGCTCGGAGCCGCTGGGAGAAGGAGCGTGGATTTTTTTTCCCAGGAATGCTGGACAGGTGAAGGGGGGAAGGAGTGCGGGTGTAACCTGACACGGAAATGAGCAAACTCCCGTCTGTTTACCTGCGAGGCAGGGTTTGGAGACAGCCAGCTCTCTAGGCTGGGTGCATTTGCCAGTGGAGGCTCCTGCAACTCCAGGGGCCTTTCCTGAAGAATCAGTGCTTTTATCACATTCTTCTCCCTCCCTTTCTCGTCCTTGACCTAGTGCAGCTCATTTTCTTGCATGGGAAAACACTGTGTGCCCCGGAGGCTGTTTGGTGGTGATATTCTAACTCACAAAGAATAACAGCAAACAAAGAATTCAGTTTAACAAGCATTATTTGTAAGCCAGGAGGAGATCAGCATAGTAAAGGAATGATACAAATAACAATTTATAGTTGGATAAACATGGAAAACTCAAATGTAAAGCTAAATTAGCTATGTCTTTCATGTGGCTATTAAATAGATACTTGAGGAGCTGGGCCTTTGGTCCCCTTGGTCAGATAGACGAAAACATTGCCATTACAGTTGTTCGGGGTTGTTTAGAAAATGTCTTTGTGATTTTGGATATTGTGTGAAAAATGCTATCATGCTGAGAGCATCAGCCAAGGGGTGTCATGGCAGCAGCTGAGGTTTCCATGGTTGTTCATCCCCTGATGAGCACCAGGGTGGTGTGTGGCTCACTAGAAAGGTCAATGTCTGTCCTTAGAGATACTGAAAACTCAGCTGAGCAGCACAGGGTAATTCACAGGACATTCTTGTGCAAGTCCCTCCTACTCTAAATTGTTTGGTGTTGATCCTTGGGGGTTAGAATTAAAGCAGTTACAGCTGTGCAGTGCAGCTTGCCTCTGCAGGCACCCACCATGGTCCAGGGGGGTTCTTGGGGCAGAGACACTCATGTTCTGAGGATCTGCTGGAGCTTCCAAGGCTCCTTCCAAACTGGAGAAGAAAAAAGTAGTTTGTGACAAAACCAACAGTTGTGGCACCAAAAGGAAAGGGAATACAAGTCCCCAAGGGATCTGTGGGTCTGCTCACATTTCATGAAATGGTGACTTAATGTTAATTTTTCAAGTAAGCAGCTGCAGCAGTTCTCACAGGTTTATTTAAACAGCTTGTTTCAACTGGCCATGAATGTAGCTAGGGTAAGGGAATTAAGGGAAGGGTTCTGGCTATCAGAACAGAAAGATGCTGGAAGAGTTTACATTATAGTTTCTTGTGTGAGTAGAGACAACAATGTCATTTTGTCAAACCCTGTCAGGATGAGAAGGACACACTCCACATCACTAAAGTAATTCCCTACTCCTGAGGTTTCCAGCTGTGTTATGTCCTTTTAAGGAATGTTGTTTCCCATAGATTCTCAGGTAGAGCATTTAAAGAAGTTGCTTTTGCTTCTGCATTTTAACTTCAGCATAGGAGAACTAAATGGTTCAAACAGCATAACTTACATTCAATTTTTTTTTTCAAATATCTATGCTTCAGTAGGTTACAGATACCTTGCTGGGATGGAGCTAAAGTATGCCAGTTGATTGCTTGTAAAGAAAGAACCAGCCAGTAGTCTTTGAAGTTTGTCCTAGAGCAGGGATAGATGTTTGGAGGTTGCACTTCAGTCCCATTAAAAGAAAGGGAACTGTGCAATCTTTCTTAGGTATGACAATGTGCCTCTGGCAGAATGCATTCTGATTTCAGTGTTCTGTACTTGAATTCTGGGGAGTGATTGTCCATACCTGATTGTCTGAATTCTGGTAATGAGATGCTTTCTCTGGTACTTGCTTATTTGAACCCTCCTAGAAACAAGGTGTCCCCTTTAAGTGTGTTTTATTCTTTGTTAAGTGTTACAGGATTTGAAGAGCCTGGCAACAGTCTGGCCCTTGCTCACCTTCCTGCATGCTGGGTTGTTCTGCAGACTCTGCTCTGAACAGGAGCAGAATATGCATGTCTGAAATTAATGAGTCTGCTTTCTTTTTTTATTCTTTCATGAAAAAGAACAAAACCGCAAAAAAAAAAAAAAATCCTGCTGTACAGAGCTAATAGTAAACCCCAAAAGTCCTGGAATGGGGTTGCACTTGATGTTTGAAAGGTCTTTTTTAATACTAGCCTGGTATTATGATAGTAGCTAAGCTAACTATTGTCTTGTTTTTCTGTTACAGTACAATAGGGTTTGGATCCCTGATAATGAAGAAGTTTGGCAGTCTGCAGAAATCACAAAAAACTACAAAGCTGGAGACAGTTTTCTCCATTTACAATTAGAAGATGGAACTGTAAGGAGAAAGGCCTGAATTATTGTGGGGTTTGCTGAGATATGTTTATGTAGAAACATAGCACTCACCATTATGGGATCTAAATAACATATACACATTTCTCTTTTTCATCATATTGAAATTGGTACAGTACACACCTGCTGCCCAAAATATGAGCAGTGCAATTCTACAGTCTGTAGACATTAGCATGGAGAACATACCTCAGAGATTGCTTTGGAGACAAGCCCTGAAACTCATCCTAAACTGAAGTGAAAATCAGAAGTGCAGGACAGACATAGTTCGCTCTCACAAAGCCAGCTTTTTGCTTTTTTAGTTGGTTTGTGTAAGATTGTTAATTTTAGTATCTAAGTTCTTTACAGATTTAATACTTTGAAAGCATTTCTGTATTTCTGCATTCCTGTTCCCTAAAGATAAATACTAAAGGTATGATTAAATGGATTTGTTGAAAGAAACAGAAGTGAGTTTTAAACTTTCTGTAAGGAAAACTGAGGTGTTGCAAGTAAGGACAGTTATAGAGCTGACTTGAGTTCTGACCAGGTCTTTACTTTCTTTCATTTGCAGCTGATCTATTATTCTCATCTGTCCTTGAAATGTGCCTGTTTGTAGAGAGCTGAACATGTCAATTTTTTACAGATTTCAATACAAAATATTGTAAATAAAGAGAATGAGGCTTTTTTTTTTCATAAGCAATGAACAGCTCCAATTCCCCCAAGTTCAGTGGGGTGTATGGAACAATGAAATAGAAGATCAGACAGGGCTCCATCAACTCTATAACTTCATGTAAATGTAGAAGATTTGTATTTATGCAAACATAATGCATTTTATGACATTTCAAGTAATTTTTGTTGACAGGACCTGAGTTACCCTGTTGATCCAGCTGCTTTGCCACCACTACGAAATCCTGACATACTTGTTGGTGAAAATGATCTCACTGCCCTCAGTTACCTGCATGAACCAGCTGTTCTACACAACCTTAAAATTCGTTTTGTGGAGTCTAAGCTTATCTACACATATAGTGGTAAGCTAAGTGAAATGAAGAGGTTTTTAAAAATCTTTTTTAAAAAGTCTTAATCTTGATTCAGTTTGCAACATGATGTGTGTACTGTTTTCCTAAAATGTATTTTAACTCATGTTAACTGGTTTTATATGTGAGTATACTTGTTTGTTCATCAGCATATTCTACCTAGAAAATATTGCTACTTTGTATTATTTCAGCTGCCAAAACCAGGCATTTCATTTAACTAACCTGCGTTTTATTTTTGTTTTGTACACTTTGCTGCAGGGATAATTCTGGTTGCAATAAACCCCTATAAGCAGCTGCCAATATATGGAGATGCCATTATCCATGCATATAGTGGGCAAAACATGGGGGACATGGATCCACACATATTTGCTGTGGCAGAAGAAGCATACAAGCAAATGGCAAGGTACAGTATGTTATTTAATGTCCATAAATAACTCTTGAAGTCTAGTGGCACTGTTAATTGTCATTTAATTTTACTGGCTATTAGGAATACCTTTGAACACATAGCTTAATTAGAGGAGAAGGAATTCCTTAACCAGCTGGGGAACTTCTAGAACCAAAACTATTTTCATCCTTGATGAGGGGTAAAACTTAGTGAATAGCAATGACATCAACCTAGAGGTTACAGCTGAGGAGGAGAAAGAGAAGAATAGATGTAAGATGGAACTGATGTATAAGACTTGGGCACAGCTGTGATTTCAAACATTGTGTGTAATTCCTACATTTGTACATGCCCTTTAGACATGTCTGACATAAACTGTCTGATTATTTGGTTTTAGAAATAACAAGAATCAGTCCATTATAGTCAGTGGAGAATCAGGAGCTGGAAAGACTGTGTCTGCAAGGTATACCATGAGATACTTTGCCACTGTGAGTAAGTCAAGCAGCAATGCTCATGTGGAGGATAAAGTACTGGCATCCAATCCAATAACTGAGGTAAGTTTGGGGGGATGCCTGTCAAGTCTGTACTCATCAAGGGAAGAATTCTGAGAGCTTCTGGGAAATTTTGTTTGAAATCTTTAGGGATGCTTCATCTGTCTAAGTTGGGTATTTAAATTTGAATTTTAGCCTCTGAATGTTACTGATGGAGAGAGGTGCTCAGCCTCAGGAACACCTGGTCCTGTCTGATTTACCAGTGGCCCTTTGGAGGTGCTAGTTTGCCTAATTAGATGATGATGTAACAATATTGAACAAGTTGATTGGTTTTATTACTTGGACCCTGATGCTGGAAAAGTATACTTTGTCTGATTTTCAGTTTATGTAGCATTTTACTATTTGATTTGAGGCTTGTCAAAATATAAGTAACAGAGTTCAGTGCTTGAGCAGAGATTGATCCCTGAGCACCTTTGATTTTATAAGCTTGTAGTTGACTCAAGTTTTGACAAAGTAATTGTTATGAGAGATATGAGTAAATCAAATTGTAAAAGTTTATAATTGTTGTAGGCTGTGGGCAATGCGAAAACCACACGGAATGATAACAGCAGTCGATTTGGGAAATACACTGAAATCAGTTTTGATCAGAGTTACCAAATCATTGGAGCTAACATGAGAACATACCTGCTTGAGAAATCCAGAGTTGTATTTCAGGTGGGTAAAATAAAGTCTAAAATAGTCAAGGTTAGTCCTGATGCACTGTACTAGTTCTATATTGAAAATATTATGTGAAGTTCTGAAGAGTGTATCCAATCAGCAATTGATTTATTTTTTAACAGAAGCTAATGTTATTCATGATAAGTTACTTTATTCCATGTTCTTCCTTTTGTTAAGTGAAGAATGCTTCTCAGGGACAATTTCCTGAAATAACTGCAAATCTGGTACTTGTGGTTGCAACAGTAACAGAAATCAATTGTATCTGGAAAGGAACAGCATATACGGGGCAGAGAGAGTCTGAGTGAAAAAATGGCTGAAAATTTATAAGGCCAAGGCTTATTTCATGTGACTCACTTCAATGTCATGGCTTATGATAATATGCTAAAGAAGCATATTTATTTAATTTTATGAAATGGTTTTTACAAAGGTTTCTTTTTTAGTAGTATTGTAACTTTGTAAGTACACTGAAAAATACTTCTGGATATCTTCTGCCCTGCAGGATGGTTTGGAAATGGAGAGATTTTTGAGTTCCCACAGGGCAGTGTTTCAGCTGACACTCCTACACATCTTTTTGTTACAACATTTGACAGTTCTTGTTAGTAGATGGTTGTTCAAGCTAAAAAACTTATTAACATCCTTGGGGAAAGAACTATGCATATTGGCAGTGGAAATAAAGTATACTTGAATGTATCACTTTCAAAGCTCTTGCTAAGATGGATCATTTGAATAATAAGCAATGTCATTGCTAACCTATGTTGCAGCAGAATTTAGCCTTCAGTTGTCATTATCACTTTACAGTATGTTGAATATAAGGTGTTTTTCAGTTTGTTTCTTCATTTTGTTGTTAATTTTTTTCCTGTGGTGTTGCTCTTTGCTTTATTTTACAGTCAGAAAATGAAAGGAACTACCATATATTTTATCAGTTGTGTGCATCTGCTATGCAACCTGAATATGAACATCTTAAATTGGGTAGGTCTCAAGAAAATAACCTGCTCTTCAGTTTTGCAGTGCAGCATTTTAAGGCTTGGTTTTCAAGTGTTAGGATGTTTAGTGCATTACAGCATAAATCTCACAGCCTTAAAACAGGACCTGCATTTTAAAGTCACTTAGCTGTTAATCCTGCTGGTTTTGGACTTGGTAGCAAATCCCTGGAAACTCAGATAGTGCACCATCAAGTACCTGAGTGTCTTTGGAAATCTTATTTCTTACTTTCTGTAGTGACAGATGCTATGACAGCTTAGGGAATTGATTCATTTATCTACAGAGAAGCTGGGAGAAGCAGATTTTAGGTGTATGTTTACACAGTCTCCATTCCAGTTTGTTTATTAGGATTTCTAGGAATTACGGATACTGATTTGTGTCAGCTTAACTGAGCTGGGCACATGGATTTCCCTCAGAAAAAAGAGGACCTCCACCTCGTCACTGAAACATTGTCATCTACAGCATCTTTAGGTTTTTTGTCTTACCAAAGCTTTAACAAGTAGCTCTCCCCAGTCCCTAATTTTTGCAGAATTACAAGACTTGCTTCTTTTCTACAGGGAGTGCAGAAGAATTTAACTACACACGAATGGGTGGCAGCACTGTAATAGAAGGGGTTGATGACAGAGCAAATATGGTGGAGACTCAGAAGACATTTGCCTTACTAGGTAAATTCTTGGAGATACATTTTCAGTAGATTTTTTTTCCTGAAATGGGCAAAGGTTTATTGTTTCTGAAATATCCAGAATGTTAGTAGTAATTACCAAAATAGATTTTTTACAGCTTGTCCATTATGGTTGGTCTGTATTTGAAGTGCTAGGTAGGAGCAATTAGCAACTGATGTTAATTGTTACTGGTCAGAAGCATTGAGGGCTGGAGTCTTCTTGGCCATAAACTAACATGCTGTGGCAGAAGTGGAATTGGAAGCTTCTTTGCCCCAGTAAAAGCTTATGTAAAAGCTAAACCAGACTTGAGCTGGCACTTGGGGAGGTACAGGAACTTATGCCCAATCTATCATCAGATCAGACAGGCAGAAAATTGGCAGAACCAAGGATTTGCATCCTACTCTGCAGAGATGCTGTACAATTCTTGGCTGCACAACAAAGCAAGTAACCCAGCATTGTTCTGCTTTAATTAATTGTACTGTTTCTGTGTACTTCAAATAATCAAGGAATGTTTTTTTAGGTCTGAAGAGGGATTTTCAGATGGATGTTTTTAAAATGCTGGCAGCAATCCTGCACTTGGGCAATGTGGAAATAGCAGCTGTTGGAGATGAAAGATCATCCATCAGTGTAAGGAAGTTGCTCACTCAGATACCAACATTTTCTATTCTATGCCAGAAGTGCTTTAGCAATAGTTTCTCTCATATCTGGGGCTCAGAGCAGCATTAAATCTGGTGTACTAAGCTTGATTGATTTCTCCATCTCCATCTGTCTGGCACAGCAGCAAGTGTTCACACAGATGCTGTTCTGTGCCCAGCTTCAGAAAGTCTTAACAAAAGGCAAAGTGTGGCTAAGAGTACCCCATATCCAATTGATCCACAGCTGCTGGAAAATCCATTTTGGAACTCTCTGCAGGATGCAGGAACCAGAGCATAGTGAAAGCTGCTCAGAATGTGTCCCAGCAAGCTATGCAAGTCTGAAAGGCAACACCTAAAAATAGACCAAAGTAACTTTCAGTGTCTTAATCCAAAACATCTCATCCAGCCCAAGTTTTTCTCTCCTATATCAGAAGTTCTATTCAGTACTATTTGCTTTAGCTCATCTTGCTATTTTATCAGATGAAGAAGTAAATAGAGCCCCCTGCCTATCTCAAAATAAAAATCATAGTTTGGTGGCAGCAGAGCAAGCATTTCACAGTTAAAGAATTACACAGTTACAGACAGTTAAAGAATTAAAGGTACCCTAATAATATTTATTGATCTCCTTTAAAGATGGAAGATAAACACCTCAGTATATTCTGTGAGCTTCTGGATTTAAACTGTGACAAAATGGCCCGGTGGCTGTGCCACAGGAAGATTGTCACCACCTCGGAGACCGTGGTGAAGCCCATGACAAGGGCCCAGGCTGTCAATGCCAGGGATGCCCTGGCAAAGAAAATCTACTCCCATTTATTTGACTTCATTGTGGAAAGAATTAACCAAGCTCTGCAGTTCCCTGGCAAACAGCACACTTTCATTGGTGTTTTGGATATTTATGGGTAAGAATGTCTCTGGAAACAGAGTGCCTTTTTTTTGGAGTAGATAAAAAAGGCACTTTTTTGTGCTGGTAATGAATTTGGAGGGGCTTGTTTTACTAAAAGGTCATGGTCATATAAGTTCTTTAGCACCCAGATTGGTAGAAATCCTCTGCTACTATAAATACCATATTTTTTTGTGAATGAGGTTTAAATTTCTCTTCTGATATGATACTTTTAGATCTAACTCTGGATTTTTAGCTTTATTATGTCTGGTAAGATTAGCTTTTAGAGACGTTTTGAAATTCCTTAGCATCTTCATTAGTCTTACTGTTAGTTAATTGTCTTAGAAACATTAGGATATCTCCAAAGAGTTTCAGGGATGCTGCCATTTGATTTTGATGTCAAAGGATTTTTTTTCTTACTTGGATTGTCTTTCAGATTTGAAACATTTGATGTGAACAGTTTTGAACAATTTTGTATCAATTATGCTAATGAAAAACTACAGCAGCAGTTTAACCTGGTATGTTCTTTTTTTGTTACAGTTATTTATCTTTTTTTTTTGCTTCAGGGTGGATATTAGTAAATGCTATTTGTGCTTGAGTGGTGGATATTTCTGGATAGTGGCTATCCAGTAAGAAATAAAAATATTTTATTTTTATATGTAAGCATAGCTACACATATATATAAATGAAAATCTAGACATTTATTTTCTTACAGACAGACATACAATATACTCCAAAATATATTTTTTTCTATCTTATGTATACAACAACTATGCACATGCAGACACTGTACTTATTTTCTCTTAATTGTAACCTTCTTTATGTTTTCAAAATTTTTGCAAATCCAGCATGTCTTTAAACTTGAACAAGAAGAATATATGAAGGAAGATATCCCATGGACTTTAATAGACTTTTATGACAACCAGCCTGTCATTGACCTTATTGAAGCTAAAATGGGAATTTTAGAACTTCTGGATGAAGAATGCTTGGTAATTTAATATTTGCTCATTAAAAAAAAGGCAAACCAAAAACTATATAGATTTTTAGAAGTGGGGCTTGTAATCCATATTTTACCCTTTTCAATGGGAAATAGAGGATTTTCTTCAGAAAAGGAACATTAATGTTTGCCCTCTGTTTGGCAATCTTGACTATAAATTACTTATTCTGTTTTCTCTTACAGTAAGTATTAAGAGCCTAAAGCTGGATCTCAGAACTTAGCTGGAAGTAGGGCAGCAGCTGGAGCTCATCCCTGTGGGGCAGTGCAGGACTGGAGCAGGCTGGGCAGGAGCGCAGTGGGATCCTCATCCCTCATCCTCACCTCCTGCACTGGAGGCAAAGCAGCAGTCTGCTGCTGCTAGTCCTGCTCCAAGCAGGAATTTGGCCTGCTCAGTCCCCCAGGGGCTCTTCCACCAATGTTTTTTTAAATTTAGTTTGTCCACAAATCACTGCTTTTGATACAAAACATTGTGGATTAATACAAACTTCTTTCAGAAATTGATTTGCTACTGGTGGGTCTGGAGAGACAAGAGCTGGTTATCAGGCCTTGTAATTCACTGTATGCAGAGTGTTTATTGCCATCAGCAGCTCTGCTGCTCCAGCAGCCCAGTTTGTTAAAGAGATTGCCCTTCTTATTCTTACAGTTGCCTCATGGAAAAGATGAAAACTGGCTTCAAAAGCTGTATAATAATTTTGTCAATAAAAACGCACTCTTTGAAAAGCCAAGGATGTCAAACACTTCTTTCATCATTCAACACTTTGCTGATAAGGTACAGTGTAAGCAACCCAGTATTGTTCCCTGTGTTTCTAGCAGTTGCTCATTCAGAAAACAACCAAATGTAGGAAATAAGATACATTAGCCACATCTATTTGGAACTTCTATAAAAGTGATCTCCAATAGTGCTATTTGTTTATTGGTAATACTGCCTGTAACATGACATTTAAATATAAGATGTTAAGATAATGAATTTAAGAGCATAAAAATAAATCATCAAGATAAAAAAGCAGAAAAATAATAGAATGTATAAATGGAACAGTTATAGTTGTAGCTCATACACATTTTAGTCTCAGTTATTTACATTTCAGATGTATTATTCCTTTTTGCTGCCTTGATTTGAAGTCATAGAATAATAAAGAAAGGAGGAAAGAAGTTCCTAATGAAGGCAGAAGGATTTGGATTTTGGCAGTTTTTCCTGCTTCTAAATTTGCAGGATCCATGTGTGTAATCCTGAGTTAATGGAATTGGGAAAAGCAGAGTTTCAGCCATCATGTTTGAGATTAATAAAGAGCTCTTGGCAACCACAGCTGGGAGAGTAAAAATTATTATTTTGCCAACTGTTTGTTTATGTGTTGCTGAAAAGTTAATGATTTCACGTGTTTGCACAGGTAGAATATAAATGTGAAGGATTTCTGGAAAAAAACAGAGATACAGTACACGAAGTATTGATTGAAATCTTGAAAGAGAGCAAGGTTTGTGACAAACAGTAATAATTAATCTTCTGAATACCTGATTTTACTGGAATTAATTCAGATCTGATTTTAAAATGTTTCTTCTGATATACAAATTTTTAATAGGTTGAATAAATTAATTTAGTCTTATTTTTATTAATTTATTTAATATTATAGAAGTGTGTATTTTTACCATCAAATAATATACAAAATGAAAAAAACACAGTATTCAACTTCTTCATATATGTGCGTTTACTTTGCTAGTTATGTTGGGGTTTTCTTTTAATATCTTCCTTCAAGAGCATTTTGTAATCCCTGTAACCGAAAAACTTTTTTTTTTTCCTCCTGTAGTCATTACATGCAGCTTTGATAGGTGGTTTATCATTAACAACTGCCTTTGTTTATTCTTCAAAAGAGATTAAGAGAATGCCAGGGCAAGGAAAACATCAGGTGTCTTATGTGTGCCTGCCACTTCCCACCTGCTTGTCCCTTTGAAGTCTATAGCCTTGAGACTTCAGGATTACTCTTAAGCTGACTTCGTCTGACCTGAAAACATATTCTCAATTTAAATTGCATATTGTGAAAACACAGCCTTAAGTGCTCTTATTTTTAGCTCTGCTCTGTATTTATGTCCATATTTGCTTATATTGAAAAAGCTTTTGCAGGCTGCTTTCACAGATGTTGAGTTCTGTATGTGGAATATGTGAGTGCTTCACAATAGACTCAGAATCATTGCAACTCTTTTTTCAGTTGTTGTTTGTTTGATACCCAGTTCAAAATACCTGGCCTAAGTATTGAGGGGTTTGCATTTTACGGTATAGTAAATGTAATTTTGATTAAAATGATGCTGCAGTTACACAGTGTTTAACTCTGGTTCTTTCACCACACTTTTAGTTTCATCTGTGTGCAAATTTTTTTCAAGACAGTCCAGTGTCCATCTCACCTTTCAGTTCAACTATAAACATCAAATCTGCCAGACCTGTTCTGAAATCACCCAACAAACAGCTCCGGACCACTGTGGGCAGTAAGGTACCCCACAACCCTGCTATTCTGTGGTGTTTGCACTTGCTGGGAAATGCTGGGCAGTCTGACACTGGGTTCTGACACTGTTCATGGGGCACTGTCCAGTTTTCAGGACAGCAAGAGCCACAGAGCAGTGCTCCAGGTCGGGGTATAATAGATGTGTTTATTTTATATATGGGAGGCTGTTTGGTACAGCCACAGTCTTCAATTTCCTGCATTTAACATCTAAAACCTATTTCCCAGTGTCCAGCCAAAACCTACCAAATAACTAAAAGACCAAGATTTGACTTTTTACTGAAATATTTCATTACCAAAACTCTTATGTCTGGTATTTTCCAGTTCAGGAATTCTTTGTCTTTACTTATGGTGACACTCAATGCAACCACTCCTCATTATGTGAGATGCATAAAGCCAAATGATGAGAAGTTGCCTTTTGAGTAAGTATGTTAGCTGTGCTCAGCTGTGGTTTTCTGTATCACTGTAGTGATGTGACAGCAAGCTAAACTCTTATTGTGGAGAAACTTCCCATACAGAACATGGTTTTCCTTCCCAGATAGGTGAATTTGAAAAAAATATTGTCTTCTTACAAAAATTGAATGTTTAAGTATCATTATTGTTACCTTAAAAATCCTTTAACCTAATAATTTTCAAGTTAGATACTAGTGCTTGTGCGTTTGTCAGAATATTTTTAGGGTAAAGGTTTTCCTCCTTTGGTTTTAGTTGATCAATATTTTGTATTGGTGTGTTGCCGTTATGCAGTATGGATTTACCCCAATTCATATTTAGAGAATAAAAGCCTCTGCCATTTTCTTTGTGAAACTCCTTGTTGTCTGCAGAAATATTTAAAATAGCTTTAGAAGTCAGAAAAGATGTGAACACTGTTGAACATAGCCCCAGATTTTCCGCCAACTTTTATGTAATTTTAATGTTTCAGTACAGTCATATGTGGCAGATAATCTTCATAATTCCTATGACCATATATAACCACTAACCTGTGAGCAGGAGTAAACTTTAATGCAGCTCTTGGTCTCTGTTTGGGCAGACCTGTGGAAGCACTCTGGTGTCAGCTATACAACTTCCAGCTGGCAGGCAGTGCACTGGCAAATGAAATTAAAGCCTTTATCATATATGACTAGGAGGGAAGAGGCCAGCTTTGATTCTAAATTCAGTCTTTTAAGTATGTTAGCTCATTTTCTTGTAGCCAGACAAAATCTTTCCATGCAAAACACGTTACTGGTGATATTATATCGCTATCACTGCACTGAGATCTCATGATCCTGCAGTGAGGGCAGAAATAGCTTGAATAATGTAAAAATATGTCAGAATTAGACAAGAAGAGTGCACCAAGAGCTTCTGAGAGAACACTGTAGTCATCTGCCAGCCACAGGACTCTCTTGGCTAGTACTGAATTGACACTGGTGGTGGGCTCTGTGGGCATAACAGCTCTGGTCAGAGCAGGAAAGAGACTTTCCATGCCTTGTGTTTGTAATTTTGAACCCAGGTATTAATGAGCAAATCCTGGTTTATTCATAATGAATGGGATAAAAAATACCTGGAGAGTTTCTTCCTAATGGGCTGTTGAGAGGGTTTATTTCTGTGTATGTTTTGTGTTGAGAGTGGAACTATTCTTTACCACTTGCTGCTGTGAACTGTCACAGTTAATACTGAAAGGAAATAGGAATTTTAGTGAGATAGATAAATAAATAAATACAGTCTTCTTTAGTTTTGAGAAAGAAACAGAAAACCCAGATTTTTCAATAGATTTTTCTTTTTAATATATGGTATGGAGTAAGATACTATATAAGAAGCAGGCAGCTTTGTGTCCTATGAGCAGAAATACAAATCCAGTTGGTAGAATGGTTCTAATTATTACAGCATGCCAAACCCAGCAGAATGCAAAGTATAACACTGCTTTTTTTTTTTAGGTTTGATTCCAAGAGAGTTGCTCAGCAGCTGCGAGCATGTGGTGTTTTGGAAACGATTCGAATTAGTGCACAGAGCTACCCATCCAGGTAGGGATAGCAGTGAGCCCCCCTGTGCCAAAAAACACCTACTTGTCTGTTCATGAAATTAATTTGTTAACTTCTAATTTTCCAGGTGGACTTACATTGAGTTTTTCAGCCGTTACAGCATTCTTATGACACAGCAGGAGCTCTCCATAAATGACAAGAAACAGATTTGCAAGATTGTTTTGCAGAGGCTGATCCAGGTAGGTTTGTCTGCACCAGCCAATAGATGTATTACAGCATCTATGAGTAATAAAAGGTCTCTTTTGTCAAGGGTAGTATCTCTCCTCAGGCAGGAAAGGTATTTACATTATTGCTGGTTTTCCTGATTTACTGTGCTGTACACAGGCTTGTGGGTCAGTGACCTTGTGCTGTGACAGTCATGATGTGGCCATAGACAGAGAACTTAACCACTCTGTGATTAATATTGTCACTTGCAAAATGGAAGAGATCCTGCATTTATAAACCAGTAAACAGTAAATGGTATACATTTGTCAAGTATTACAAGCACAAGATGGGTTTCAATGGTGGAATGCAGCTTATTGAAGAGCTGTTCAAAAATTTGCTATTTTGCACATTGCTTCTATTTGTTAGGTGAGCCTGTGGTGGTGAGGCTGGTCCTGGTCAAGCCAGCGTGCCAGAACTGAGCTCAGATTCAGGGATGTGTGACACCAAACACAGACACACTTGCTGAGTAGCTCCGGCACAGGCCAAGGGGAGAGCTGGAACCTAAAAGCAGCCTCACCCCAAGTTTTTCTCGCACAGCTCACTGTTCTAGGCTAGAAATGTGCATCAAAAGGTGCTGCTGAGCCCATGGAACCAGACCTGTAGGAGGAGGTGAGGAGGTTGCTTTTAAGGCCTTGATGATAAGTCCAGAGCCTCCCTTTAATTTTAGATCACGAGTGTACAACTTTTGATGTTGTTCTCTGTGTCTTTCCTGCTAAGTGGGTTTTCCCCCCTACATACTCCTATCTACATAGCAGGCAGAGAAGATATTCTTATTCAGGAAGATGGTGTCTTGAAGCGGAGCTTGCCTGAAGTGACAATTTATAAAAGGAAGAGAATATCTGGCCTACAAAAATAAGCTAAAAACTTAACGAACCTACTGTTTTCTCTTTCAGGATCCTAACCAGTATCAGTTTGGGAGAACAAAGATTTTTTTCAGAGCGGGGCAGGTGGCTTACCTGGAGAAGCTGCGCTCGGACAGGCTGCGGCAGGCGTGCACGCTGCTGCAGCGGCGCGTGCGGGGCTGGCTGCAGCGCCGGCGCTTCGTGGCCCTGCGCCGCGCGGCGCTCACCGTGCAGCAGTACTACCGTGGGCAGCGCACCGTCAGGTACCCACCCTGCCCAGCTGGGCCTGCTCCTGGCTGCAGCCTCACACAGGGCCAGCTGGTGCCCCAAGGGCAGTTTATATCTAAGAGCAAGTCAGGTTTTATCGCCGGCTGGGGGCTGTGTACAAATAACAAACGGGATGGGACTGCCTGGAACACAGTGCCTTGAGCTGTTTTATTTTCCAGCATCAGTCTCATTACATGGTTATGACAATGGGAAGATGCCAGCAGCTCACATCCCAGGCAGCAGACTAAGAACTTAATGTTGCAACTTAGTTTATAAGTTTTTTGACCAATCACACAAAGCAAAAGCACATTGACAGTAGTTCTATCCAATCACTATAAGCACACATATTCTCGGTTAAAACAATGCTTGCTTATTTCAAATACAATACCTGCCTGTAAGCCTTAAAACACAATGTACAGAGCTCCATTATTAAGCTTAGAACTTCCTCATATCTTGCTAGATGTACTTTTCTGCAGCTTAGGGAGTTATTCAGTTCTGCAGTTATTCTAGACCAGTGTTAATACACAGACCATTGTTCTATTTGTCCTTACTTTTCTACTTTTTACATAATTTTTCTGCTGACCAATCTTATGGCTACTGCTTAGCTCTAATCACAGTTCTGCTGTCTCTGAAGCCTGCCTTTTGCAGCTTTCCCAAAACCCTCTGATTTTAAGGATTCCCACAATTGTATTTCCATTTCCTCTTGATTGTAATTATGAACTTGAACATGGTCAAGTTATTCAGCTGGTATGAGAGAAGTACCCCAACAGGTTTCCAGCGTTGTCTGCCAGATCCCCAAGAGGCCTGTCTGCCTGTGAGCTCAGTCCTTAGCTGATAATAGATGGCCCAGTTGGGCTTTCTGCTGAGCTTCAGAGCCAGAGAAGAAATCAGGGGTGTGCGGATTAGTGTGGAGAAATTATTGCAAAGAAAGTGCACCAGGCATTGTCATAGCAGAATGAAACATGGCTCTGTGTAGACTTTGAGGTTTTCATAAAGAGACCATCAGAACAAATGCTTGTGGGCACATTTAAAAGTGGTGGATAACTCCCTGTCCTCCACTTTGGTTGAAGAACAAGCTCTATTTTTAATAATGGATGCTCAGTTTTGATATCTTCACTTTTTTTTGTGTGTGTGTATGTAATTTGACTGACCAAGGCAATGAGCATGAGAAATCCAATGTGACCTAAGTAAATTTTATTGTTTTTTGAATTAAGGCAAGCTATAACTGCAAGAAATCTGAAGGAAACATGGGCAGCTATAATCATTCAGAAATACTGTCGGGGTTACCTCGTCCGTAGACTTTGCCAGCTCATCCTTGTGGCTGCTGTGACAATCCAAGCTTACACAAGAGGATTTCTAGCAAGAAAAAAGTATCGCAAGGTACAGCCTATCAAACGTCTTATTTCGGTAACTGGAGACAACTTGTGCTCTGTAAAAAAGATGAACACAATAGCAGTTATTCCTAAAACTTTACCTTTTGCACATCTGGTTTTCATATCTTCTGCTCTGTTTTTTTAGTTTTTTTACCAAGTTCTCTGTCTGGTTTATGCTGGATGCAGACCATTTACTGTGATTACTACAGTGGCTCAAATGTGCCTGCAGCCTGGATATTTCAATATTTTGATATTTCCCTGAGCTGCATTGTCCTCACCAGTGTGTGTAGACTCACAGGCTGTTACAATTGCTGTGGATTGAGCTAATTACAGAGGGATGCTAACCCTTTGTTTTAAAGATGCGTGAGGAGCAGAAGGCTGTGGTTCTCCAGAAATATGCCCGTGCATGGCTGGCCAGGCGCAGGTTCCAGAACATTCGGCGCTTCGTGTTGAATATCCAGCTCTCATACAGAGTTCAGCAGCTGCAGAAAAGGATAGAAGAACAGGTGAGGGGAAGCAGTCAGCTTCTGATTTGTGCTAAGTTTTTTATCCTGTCTGCTCTAGTCAAAGATGTTGAGTTGAGAAGACAGGAGAGTATGTAAGGGTTATGGTCCTTTATAACAAACTACTAGGCTTTCTACACCCAGGGTGGAAAGAATCATCTAGGGTTTCCTTGTATTTTTGGGTTAATTATGCAAATCAGAAGAGTCTGCAATTACCTTTTTGATTTTTTTACTGTTTCTAAAGTCCATCCAGTCTCTGGATGGGGTTGTTAGTGTTAGGATGAAGGATGTGTGAGATATTCCTCTAGTACAACATGTTTTGTAACTTTGGGGAATTCAACATTATGTTTATTTTGCAGCTTATTTTTGAGAGCCATTCCAGCCAAATTGTCTTTAAAATGGTAGTTTTAATCTAGTTGATGGAAACAGTCCTGGGTTGAAATAATCATGACTGATATGGGATGGAGAGAAGAAGTAGGTCAGAATTTTAAACTCCCCTTAAAATTCGATGGAACAGTTTCAGTGCATTTTTCTATTTCCTTTTATCCTGTCCTGCTCATTGCAGAGTAGAGAAAATCATGGCTTGCTGGAACGATTGACCAATCTGGCTTCAGCTCATATGAATGATGTGGATACAATTCAGAAACTTGAATCAGAACTCGAAAAATTAACTGCTCAAAAGAGAACATATGAAGAGAAAGGGAAAAAATATAAAGAGGACAGTGAGCAGGTAAATTATAATTGCCATCTGTGTGCTTTTATTCTTAAGTAATGTTTTCAGTTACTGGATTTATCAAATGCATTATTTGAGAGTTTCTAAGTAACTACTCTTTTGGGGTGAGGCAGCAAGAAAGGAAGAGAGTCCATTTATGCTTCTTTAAATGTAAGATCTTCTGTGGCCTATTTCTTCCTCCTTTGTAATTTGTATATTTTGCTTACTTTTTGCCTGTACAGAAAATCTTAAAACTTGAGAATCAGAATAAAGAATTACAAGAACAAAAGGAAACCTTAGAAATAAAACTCCAAGAAAAAACTGAGGAAATGAAAGGTACAATAACTAAAGGGAGTTTCAAAGGAGTTATAGTGGGGTAAAGTCAGTTTTTCAGCAAAAGTAAATTGCTTTTGTTCTAATAAAAGTGCTGAAATTGTAGTAAATTGAAAGTTGGTCCTTCTCTTGCTTTGGATGAGTAGCACAAGTGTTTTTATTAAGAGTTAATTTAAATTGGTTCTTTCAGTAGCAGGACCCTCCTCCTGTTACATGTCCCTTTTCATACATGTGTTCCTTCAAATTGTAGCTTCATCCTTGCTTCCTTTAATACACTACTTTTAGGAATCTAATTTCAAAGGACACAGGCAGCACATGAGATCAAGTATACTCTAGATGAATAATTGCACAATTTTGTGCTTCAGAATCTTTTTGTTTCTATAGCATTACTTAATAAATGTACTGTGATAATTTTTGGCACTTGAGAGAGTAATTTCAGCCTCAGAATATGTTAAGGATTACTAAAATAAAACTTCTCATAATGGTCGTGCTTTTTTAATAAATGGACACAGTTGCATGAAGGTCTTTGAAATATTAAAATATTTTTTGACAGAGAAAATGGATGACCTCACACAGCAACTCTTCAATGATGTACAAAAAGAAGAAAACCAGCGAATGTATGTAATCCGAATTTTATTTCCTTGAAACAGCATTCATTTTTTCTCTTTCCCTCCCTTTCTTTCTCCTGCAAATGTATTATGCTGACATCAGTTATGAATCTGACCATGTTCTTGGGCACTAGTGCTGGTACTGAAGTACTTCATGCAGAGTTTAGGAAAAGCACATCCTTGTTTGTGGTGAGTCATATGCAGGAAATCAAACTGTTCTTGCTTTTCCAATTTCTTATCTTTTCTTGTGTCTCTGAGAATTGAAGGCAACTCTGGTGGCAATGGTTTCTTTGGAGATGTCCTCAGAATTTGCTCAGGAGAGGAAGAGCAGCTGATGGCCACACCAGTCAGAACTCCTGAGAAGTGAATATGAAAGGACAGAATGGAAGGATTCAGTGTGAGGGAAAGGCAGTGTTTGTAAAGGACATTCAGTTAAAAATACAAAGGAGAAAGCTTTTTTTCCCCCCTTAGATATTTAATTTGCAGTAAAAATCCTGTTATTAATCAACAAATGGCTGTTGCTTTCAGCATGCTTTTCTTGGATCAAGTGTTTATTTCCCAATTACTTTTCCAGTCCAAGACAGAGAGCCTTCAGTGCCAGAGAAGTGCTGTTCTCTGAAGTGTGAAGAGAGCAATCAGTCACTGCTCCTGAGGGCTGCAAGCTCTGTGGTGCTCCAGCTCAGTCTGATTTCACCTGCCAATACCTTCAGACTACATTAAGAGGATTTCTTTTCCTAGTTTTTCTGGTTTGCTCATTACCTGTGTGATGCTGGAAGCAAGCCAGCAGAAATATTCTGGAAACTGTAAGAAACTGTAAAGGAAAACTAAATATACTAAAACTCTTAGAAAATATAGGGGTGTTCTCCTCCCATTATCATCCATTATGTGGGTGGATTCTGAGGATGTAGGATGGCATTTTCAAGTAATTATGGTTCATTTAAGTGTTCTTCAAGGAAGCACATCCTTCAAATTAAAACTAAAACAAAGCCCACTTTTTCACTTAGGAATGTAGACAAAATTACCTTTTCATTGTGTGCTTTAGGATACTTGAGAAAAATTTCCAAAACCAGAAGCAGGACTATGAAAAGGAGATTGAACTGCTCAAGGGAGAAATAAAGATCCTGAAAGAAGAAAAAATTCAGCTACAGCAACAAATTCAGCAAGAAATTATCATTCAGGATGGCTTAAAAATGGAAGTAGGACAGCTTACAAAACAAGCACAGGTAAAACATGACTCATTTCATTTTGGAGTCTTTGCTAGAGAAAGCAAGTGGAGAATGTGCATGTTTTGCTTATAGATTATCTTCACTAATTTTTTTTATTTCCAGTCCATTTTTAGAAGAAGCTGTAGTTAATAAGCTGTTTTTGGTACATCACTATATTGCATTATTTTCATGTAGTAGACAATGCAAGTTAGTGCTTTCAGTAATAATTGCATGTTTTCAAGAGTAATTGTGCTTTAATATTTATAAATTCGAATATATAGATCTGTTTTCCTTCCATTTTCCTGAGAAAGTATTAATTTCTCTGGGGATTTTCCATGCATGTAGCTTATAAACCGAACCTTAAATTAGTATAAAGTCACATTTTTGTTCTCTGAGTCAATTCCATGGCACAAACATTTTTTTTTCAGTACCTCACATTACTGTTCTGTTCCAATGCCTGAGAACACAACACATTTTAAGCTTTTCACCCTATTAACTTGTTCTTAATTATAATTATGATTTAACTGATACTCAGCCCTTGTCATCCACTTCTTGTGTCAGTATATGATTTCTGTTTGATTCAGAAAATACCTGAATTGCAAAAGGAAATTGAACTTCTTCAGACACAGAAATTGGATGTTGAAAAGCAGGCCCACTCACAGAAGAGAGAATTGAGGGGTAAGCTTCATACCAGATAGAGCAGAGAATTGAGCCAGGCCAGTTTAAATTGATCTCTTCAATGTCAGCTATGACAGAACTCCAGTTCTCTTTCCCATCCCATGGTGGTTTAATTCCATCCATATATATATATATATATATATATATATATATATATATATGTATACAGTGTACAAAGTGGTCACTGAACACTGAGATCTGGGGTACCCCTTTGAGGAAACTCTGATTTCAGACATTTCTCATTTGTGTTTAGAAATAAAAACTAATGATTTAAATTTCACCTAAAATCTAAACTTCACTTAGAGTTTAATAAGGGACCCAAAAATGTGTAAACAATATATTATCTAGTTTTCATTCATCCTGTCCTTTGTCCTAAGTCCAATGATGTCAAATATGCTTAAATTACTTGCTGAGTTGGGTCCTCTTTGGAAAAATATACTTAACAAGCGCTACAATTGTGAACTTTGTTTAATGATAATAATGTCAAAGAGCAAACCTGTATTTGCAGCATTTAATGTAGTAACCTAGCACAAGATGATAAATCATCTGTAGAACTCTAGGAGTTGCCCAGATTCAGAGCAGGAAGATGTAACTTGGCATTGAAAGTTTTGAAAAAAACAGTATTGGTGGTACATCAACCTAATGTTCCTACATGTCCCAAAGTAGAACTGAGTCCCTCATGGTATTCCTCTGGTAAACCAGATATATTTACTGAGCACCAGGGAAGAACCTTGTTAGATTTAGGAAGAGGATGGTTTGATCTTTATAATGAAACATGCAGAGAAAATAATGAATTTTATAAACTTTGTGGGGTTTTTTCCAGAAAAGATGTCAGAAGTTACAAAGCAGCTTCTTGAAAGTTACGATTTTGAAGATGTAAGAAGCAGGTAATTTTGTTCTGAGGCATCTTCAAAAAAGCTTAAGGAATGCATTATGGTCATCTGCACGCTAATGCTTCTGCCTTTCATTCTAGACTCTCTACAGAGGATCTGGAGCACTTAAATGAGGATGGAGAGCTGTGGTTTGCTTATGAGGGCTTGAAAAAAGCCACAAGGTTAGTTCAGTTCTTCAGTGTTTCCAAAACTCCAAGCTGTGACCTAGAAGATAAATCAAAAGATCATTGGGTAACAAATTCTACAGTGCAGTGCTGAACTTCTGTTAAGGAAATGAACAGGCACTACATTATATGATGAGCCAAGCAGTTTGAAATCAGTTGAATAAACTTCTACCAACCCAGTGAGATGTGTGGATGTGTCAGTCAGGAAAATGTGTTTCCTCTGAGATATCATGCATAACTTTCAACTCCTTTAATGCACAGGTGATGTAATGGAATATCGCTGTGTTAATCACAGTACTTTGTTTCCACTTTGTATTAAATTTGACCCATTTAATCAAGGTCGTTCTGCATCTGCCATGTTCTTTCTCCTTTTTGTTTTAACAGAGTATTGGAAAGCCATTTCCAGTCTCAGAAAGAAATATATGAGAAGGAGATTGAGGGTTTGAACTTTAAAGTTGAACATCTTAGTCAAGATATTAATCATCTACAGAAATTATTCCGAGAGGAAAATGACATCAATGATGGCATTCGGTTGGAAGTTAGCAGGCTAACTTCAGAAAATCTGGTAAGGTCCAGGTGCAGAAGCACAACCCAGATGTGTTTGTGGCTCTCAGAATATTGTGGGCATATCTTTGAAACCTCAAGGCTCAAACAAATGGGGCCATGTAAGGTGGCACATCGCTGAGGCTCCTTCCCTGCCTGCTGGGGTGGTGTGTAAGGACACAGCCAAATTTACTGTCTGAGTGTGCAGCCTGCTGGGGCAGCCTCGCAGAGACTTTTGCCTTTTCATATGCATAAACCTGATTTGAGATTTTTCTCAGAAGCCTCCTCAGAGTTCTGAGGCTTTCCCCACCAGAGGGCAGCTACACATTCCAAAACCAGCTACAGGCACGGCTGCAGAGCCTGACACCTGGTGCTGTGCAAAACGGTCTGACACAAGGAACTCGTGCTGTTCCAGAAGATAGCACATGCCATATCATTTTTCTGAAAAATAATCGAAGAAATGTTTTCAAAACAGAGTTACGAAAATCGAAAATAAAAGGAAAAGTTATTTATGATATTATTTTTGTAACTGTTCATGGAATGTCGAGGGGGTTTTTTCACTGTTAATTGAACTAGGGAAATTAAAGCCATAGCGTAATTTCCTTTAAAGTAGAACAAAACAACGGTAGTAGTGGGAAAGTCCAACTATTTGATTAGCTCAGTATTTAGTTTTTAAGAGTGGCCAGCAGAAGGTGCCTGCAGAAAAGTCAAACAAGTCAGGCAAGCAGGCAGCAGAACCTCCCCAGAGCCTCTCTCTGGTTTGGACTATTGGCAGTTCAGGGTCATGAGGTGACTTAGGAACTACTGCAGGGGTTTAAAAAGAAGGAAGGTGCTGAAATACACAAATCTCCTTTTTCTCTAAAAGGTAATCCCAGATCTTAAGCAGCAAGTTGCTGAACTTGAAAATCAAAAATTAGATCTTGAAAACCGTCTTCAAGAGCAGACCATAAAGTTGAAAGGTAATGGTCCCACTATGGCCCCCAGTCTTTCAGTTGGTTGAAGTGAACTTGATGGATTCCCTGGAGCTGAACTTCTAAAAGCTGAATTAATATTCCATCATGACTTCATTGCCTTATTACTTACTTTCTTACTAGTAAAATGGGAGAAATGCAACGAAAAATATCTGTTATGTATCTTCTGAAAAAATAAGATACATGCAAATATGTGCTTTTTTTACCTTTTTGAGGTCATTCAGTTCTGGGGTTTGGAAGTCTCCAAAAGTATTCCATAGGGCTCTGCTAAGAATATGTGAAATGGAGTATGTCCTTTGGAAACAGTAATGAAAAGGAAAGATCATTTGGAACTTATGGCATACTCTATAAGGTAGACTTAAGAGGATGCTGCAAAACTCAGAGTGGGAGACAGAGGGAAAAGTTCTTCTCAATTTAGGAAAGCATACCCTGCTGAAGATTTGGAGTGTCTGTAACTGCAGTGTCTTCCTAGGCAACTGATTTAAAATTTATGAGTAGTTTTACTGCCAACTGCAAGAAATTAGTAGTATCAAAATTCTTCATCCCGTATGATTTTCTGTGTGGTATGGAGTAGTCACATATTTCTCTGTTACATTAGCTGGCATCCATCATTCAATTTCATTAGATGAAACAAAACAGTGAGTGTATGAAAGATATACTGAATACTAGTACTGAACAGTAAATACCTTTGATTTTGTTGTTTCTGTTTTGTTTTGGGTTTTGCTGCCATTTATTTTTGAAAAAAAATGGAAGAGATGTCAAATCGGCTGCATTATGAGCTGGAACGGGATAGGACACAGAGACGGTAATTTTTTAATCATTTTTTTAATAAGAAAAAGTGTTACTACACTATAAGCTGTAGTAACAGAATCACTTAAACTCTTAAATTATATTCCACTTAAGATTTTCCTTAGAGTGTTTTGTACAGTTAATAACTAATGGACAAGTATGATCTGACTGTGCTTTCACAAAAGATGAAGAGACAAGACTTCTTACCTATTTTTAGAACCACTGAGGCCCAGAATGAAGTAGACATAAAAGAAAAAGAGAATCTGAAGGACACAATCCAAGGAATTGAGGGACTGAGCAATGGTGTGATGCAAGATGAAGTCCAGGGTGAACTACAAAGCAAGATAAAGCAAGTGACAACTCGACTTGCTGTGGAAAACATGGTGAGGAAATGAAATTGAGGAAATAAGAAACTGTACCTGAAATGCAGGATAAAAAGAATGAAATTATGATTTTGTGGTATGGATAGGATATTTCTTCAAATAATTTAGGGAAAAAAAAGATATGAGGGTGTTTCTTCCAGCAAATATAAGTAAAAGCACATAATAATATTAATTGTGGCAATAACATGAAGCAGTAGAAAACATTTTTCGATTGTGTTTACTCTGACCTCACTGACTTTGATTATTACAGGATCTTGAAGAAAAGCTAGACATGAAAGACAGAATAATAAAAAAATTAGAAGATCAGATCAAAACTCTGACCAAGACTATTGAAAAATGTAAGATATTATTATGTGATTTATTTTGTTTAATAGCTTTGAATGCTCAGTGTCTGTTTGAAGAAAAAATATATTTTTTAAAAGGTGGAGTTTGGGGTGGAGTTAGAAATTTAATACCTCAGAAAAATGTGCCAGGGGAATCATCAACACAAATGACATAGAAGTCCTTTCCTGGTGTGTTTGTTTTTTCCCCAGCTAAATCATAGGCATGCAGGGACCTGGTCTAGATGATAAAGGTCCAGGCACAGGGATAAAGTCCTGCCAACAACAGTTTGTGCACACCCTCACACAAACCCTCTGAGCCACCAGTGTTAGTTCTGCATCTGACAAGGAACCCCACCCATGAGCCTTCAAGTGGCAGATGATTCCTGATGTGAAGTCAGTCTGTACAAAGCTCTTACAGATAAATTAATTCTTCACTACAGGATGCTCTCAAAAACACTGCTAAGTTGTCTAATGTAGAGGTGTAACTTTGCTGTTTATTTTTTCTTATTACTGCAAGTAATCCCACTGAATCCAGGGAAGCTATTAATGAATAATATAAATGTTACTTAACTCATAATGCTTGGAGCCATAAGAACATTAGTATGTGCTGTCTTTATTACAGAGAAAACTACTTTTCTCCAGTAGTTTGTTCTAACATGACCATTAGCTTAACCATTAACCTGGAAGTAACAGTGCTTTTGTGTTTGACAGCTGAAGCCCTTGTGCCCACTGTGCCCAAAGAGTACATTGGAATGATGGAGTACAAAAAAGAGGATGAAGAAAGGATCATTCAGAATCTGATCCTCGGTATTTTAGTAAAACTTAGAATTTTATAAGTCTAATATCAACAATATTCAGAGCACTGTAACAAAAACTACGTGGCACCATATTGCACTTTCATTCTAAGTTGCCTTTTTCCCCATTCTCTTACCACCAGTACAATTTGTACTGCTCTCTTTCCAGTACCAGATATTTCAAGTACAGAAGTGCTTTATCTCTGTAAAAATAATTTCTCTGACTCTTCATAATGCTGACTCTGTTACCTTGCTTACTCTTTATCCACCTCTAAAGCTATAAATCCCAAGAGCACACCAGGGACTTCAATTTACTTTCTTCCTGGTCATCTACTAAGTCTGTAAGTCACTGTGCTTATATCCATGTGTGATGGTTGCTCTCCTGTCTGTCCTTGCCATGTCTTCACTGAAAGGAACTGTACTTCATGTTTCTCTTGTAGAAGGATTTTGTCCCTCATCTGAGCTACTTGACAGTATCAGTCTTGCTGCCAAACCAGCTTTTCTCATCAACTTACAATTAACAGTGAATTTGACAAATTTTCCATGTACATTTGTACCATTATTAAATTAACAACACCTTCCTTTTCTTCTCACTTTTGAATGTTAATGTTTTTGTGAACAAAGGTGTGGCCCTAAGCAATGGAACTTGGTGGGGCATCCAGTGGGTAGTTAAATGTAATTTGCTTTTTGAAGTTGTCCTGCCTGGCATAGCCCATGCTGGACCTTAGAATTTGCTACAATACTCTGCTACCCCTCAGGAAAATATAATTAATACTCATATGTGAGCATTACTGTTACAGAAGTTGTCAGAAACAAGAGATTCACCAGTAAATCAGTTATTATGTGACTGGTCACTGCAGAAAGGAACAGCATGGTGCTTGTCTTTTTTGGAATGCTACACTGAAAATTGGATTTTTCCATAACAAACCAGATGACTCTCCTCCATGCAGGTTTGAAGCCCCGTGGAGTTGTAGTTAATATGATTCCTGGCCTTCCAGCTCACATCCTGTTCATGTGTGTGAGGTATGCAGATTACCTGAACGATGCTGACATGCTGAAGTCTTTCATGAATGTAACCATTGATGGCATCAAGCAGGTTGTTAAGGTAGGAGCTGTGTTTGAGTGTACTGTACTGTGCTTTTTGATTTTTAACACAAGCTTTACAAGATGTATGTGTGGTATCTGGGGAATGCCAACACTTCCACTTGCTGATATTCCTAGAAGGGAATGATAATGATTAGTGACACTCTTTTTGAGGTTTGTAGTAGCATCCCTGTAAAGTCTCCAGCTGAGGTTTGCTGTGCTGAACACAGAATCCACAGAATGCATTAACATAAATTATTTTTATCTGAAGATGTTGTTGACAAAATCATTTCAAGCACTTTACATTTTACAATGAGTAGCTAATTAGGTGAAGTGCACCTGTGCTTTCAGCACTGCTCAAAGTCAGAGGGACAGAAATGAAGGCTGGTATGTCTGGCAGCAAGCTGGTAGTGGACTCTGAGGAGGATTTTGCACTGCTTAGCTGCTGGTGTAATTCAACATGTCATCTGTACTGCAGCACTAGAACCCAAACGATTAGAATCAAATTGCCAGCCCGTGTACAAAATTAAATTATAAACTGAAATTGCCATGCTATATGCATAACAAATTCAGCTCTGTGAATGCTTTGTTATGGATTTATAATGGAGTGAAACACCAGACACAGGGAGGAAGCACAGGCAGGAATGGACTGTGGTTCATGCAGTTGGACATGTTGTACGGAGAACACCTATAAGTTTGTACACAAACAAATTTCTAGCACAGTTTATCCATTAGAGAAGCTTGTGTTTACTCAGCTAATAAAAAAGAGACATAGATAGTTAGAACTGTGTTTTTATGTAGTGCAGTTTCATTTGTGAATGCAGGTGTTGTTCACACTTCTTTGCAGGAAGCCCTCCAGCACACTGCATATCCACAGGAATTGTAGAACTGTTTGTTCAGGGTTATTATTTAGCCTGTCTATTAAGAATACTTAAACAGTATTTACCAAACAAAAGAGGGATCTTTGCTATGTGTTAGCCTGAAAACAGAGCAGGATTTGTTCAGCCCCTTTCAGATGCTCTGTGCTCATTCTGCTATAGATAGGCTCTGTTCTACCAATGCTGTAATGGTTTTAAGTTTAATTATTGAATTAACTTCATGAGACAATACCATAGTAAGACTGCTTTACTTACCATTTTCAGGAACATTCAGAAGACTTTGAGATGTTGTCCTTTTGGCTTTCCAACACATATTATTTTCTTAACTGTTTGAAGCAGTACAGTGGGGAAGAGGTAGGATTGATTTAATAAAATAATTCCATGACTTTTGACAGATTTTAATTGAAATTTAAAATAGCATTAATTAATAACTATTCACCAGCTCACCAGTGTTCCTTACAGGTATTTATATACTCACATTGCTCTGCAGTGGTGTTATGTGTCTTATACAAATAATAAGACAGTGCAGAATTAATGGATCAAGGGAAATGAAGGAAACATCAAAGTGCTAAAGTAGGTTAAAGCCATGACATGGAAACTGCTGCTTCATTTGAATCTTTCCACGTGAGTTTAATTAGAGGTGGACTTCAGATATCTGACCATGTATATAAATAAAACAGTTTTACTATTTTATAATTAGGGCCATTCAGATACTTACTGCTACCAAAATAGAAGAAAACCTCTGGAAGGAAGCAAAACAACAAACTGTTCAGGTTTTTCCTTTATTCCACTTGCTTGTTAAGCTAAATATCATCCTGAGATTCAAGTTTCTTTTCATTCTTTTCAGTCGGAAACTCTGACTGTATTTTTAAGAGGTTTTATAGACTGGGGTGTCCTGAGCTGGGCTTGGAGTCGCTCCCTCTCGTGGCCACAGCGGGGTCACTCAGAACCCAAACCTGTTAGGCTTCATTACCAACACTCTGTGACTGGGGTTGCAGCAGTAGGGAAAGCTCTGAATCCAGAATTTCCTTTTAATCTGCGTTCTAATGAATATTAAACACCTCACACAGGTTAGGATTTGGGGTAGACTTTTGAAGTCAGAACTTTGCTAATGAAAAGTCCAAAAATTAATATCCCTTTACAACAATACGATGCAAATGTTTTTGTTTGCCATCATAGTTGAAACAGCTATGTTGTTGGCTTTTTTTGGTAGGTTTTTTTTGGGGGGGGGGGACGGATAGGGAGATGAGAGGAGAGCAGAGAGGGTTTGCTTTCTGTTTAAGAGATCTGGGAGTTGCTCCAAAGTTCATTGACATCTATGCGTGTCTTTCCTTTGGCTTTAGGAGCGCAGCAAACATCAGCATTAACTGGAAAATTAAGTACAGGAAGCACCCACTGACATTAGCTTTGACTCATTCTGTGTTCAGCCAGAGATGGAATGAGTAACTCCAACACATTGCAGTAACAATTTATAATTACCACATTATGTGATTTCTAATTATATTTACTACTCACTTATAGGAATTCATGAAGCATAACACTCCACGTCAGAATAAGAACTGTTTGAAGCATTTTGATCTCTCAGAATACAGACAAATTCTCAGTGATTTGGCCATTCAAATATATCACCAATTCATTATTGTAATGGAGAACAACATTCAGCACATGATTGGTAAGACAACAGCAATCCAAGAGCACCTAAATGTAACTTGTGAAGCATATGAAGAAAGCTCATACAGGGAGACAGAGGGTGGGACAGACTTCTTTCTCCTGATATTCATACATAGGTGTTCCTGCATGTGTGTTTCTACAAAACACATACAAATTTCACTGAATCATATATTCCCAGACTTTTTCCTCAAAACTTCCTAGTCTAGGATAATGCTGTGAATCGGAGCAACATCATACAAAAATAAAAGGCTTTTTTAAAATTGTGTGCTCCGGAAGCCTTTGTCAGTATCTTATTTTTCTTGTATCAATTAACTTCTAAAATATCCTGAAAGTAGGTTTTGTTCAATAATTAATGTAACTGAAAGGAGCCTTGGGAATTTTGATTTCATCAGTTATTTTCTGTCATATTTCAGTACCAGGCATGCTGGAATATGAAAGTCTTCAAGGAATTTCTGGCCTGAAACCTACGGGATTCCGTAAACGTTCTTCCAGTATAGATGACACGGATACCTACACTATGACCTCTATCTTGCAGCAGCTCAGCTATTTTTATAGCACTATGTGTCAGAATGGCTTGGACTCTGAGCTCCTAAAGCAGGCAGTGAAGCAGCTTTTCTTTCTGATTGGAGCTGTCACCCTCAATAGTCTCTTTCTCCGCAAGGACATGTGCTCCTGTAGAAAAGGAATGCAGATAAGGTAAAGCCAGCAAAGTTTCAGCAAGCCTGAGAATGATTTTTTAAGATTTGTATGTAATGTCCTTTCCCTCTAAGTCACTGGATAGTCTGTGACTGTTCTGTTGGAAGTTGCCAGTTGTTTTTGCTTCTTTTGGAAAAGCAAATCTTCGTATTTTGGGCTGAGCTTTCTCAACGTGACAACTATAAATTGTTCTTTCCACGGAAACACTGGTGGAGGAAAAGGCAGAGAAAATTACAGTCAGAAGCTTAAAGTCAGGCATGGTTAGGATTCTTTCCATGCTAGCTCATCCGTGATGTGACCAACAGTATTTTTAATTCTTTCTTACCACAGTGAACAGGTGCAGTGTCTCAGGGCTGGCAGGGATACAAAAGCTGACTTGCATGTTTCATGCTCTGTGACAACAAAGGCACTGGGACAGAGCCTTGGAGGGTGTAGATTGAGCATCATCTCTCCTGTTGCAAGCACCAAGGAAACATGCTCCTAACTGTTTTGCAGAAGAAACAGTGCATTTGTTTTCCATGAGTCAGTCTGCAGGCTCAGGGGAAGGAAAATCAGTAAAATCTTGGCCCATCTGGGAACATTATTAGAAGAAAGCTGATCATCCTTTATAAGCCTGGCCCTGCTTTGTAACAGCAAAGATTGTTCTCATTTCCTGTACATGCTCAGTTGCAAATAAATGTTTTAACGCCATACAGTAGACAATGCCAGTAGACAATGCCAGTCAGTATATGTTAGTAATTTTCTGGAAACAACAGCTAAACTAATAACTTGCTTTCTATTAGCCAAGCTTTAAAAAATAGACAATGAAGAAAAAATAAGAATTGAAATATAACAATGATTTAATTTATAGTTAAATAAGCTATTAATAGTTTGATTTTTATGACCTGCAGGTATTGTTTTTAGCTTAAAATATATTAATTTGAACACAACATTAGAAGAATCTTTCTTCCTTAGCAGTCTTCAAAGTAACCTGCTCATCAAGGGGAACCTGACATTTCTGTTCTTTGTTCATGGTTTAACCCAGATGTAATATCAGCTACTTGGAAGAATGGCTTAAGGACAAGAATCTTCAAAGCAGCAATGCCAAAGAAACTTTGGAGCCCCTGTCTCAAGCAGCCTGGCTCCTTCAGGTTAAAAAGATCACAGATGATGATGCCAAGGAAATATGTGAACACTGCACATCTCTTTCTACTGTGCAGGTAATGAACCATCTGTTTTCTTCTGGCAGCACTGATTGCAGAATCTTAGCTATCTCAAATAATTTATTGCAAAAAGCCATTGGACCTTCATTTCATAAAAGCAGCATTCTTCAGCATTCCACATCATCACTTGTTAAGCTGAAATTTTAAGTCCTTATTCCTGATTGCTTTGAGTATTTTAACTGCTCCCATGGTGAATGCTTTCCTGCTTTGGTATATCCCACATTTTTGTTCCACAATGTATTTTTTTTAGTATGTCATGGGTTTTTTCTTATTGTTTCCCTTAATAAATTCAGCTTTTTCTACATCTCCTTGATCTGCTGACACCTCTGGTAATGAGTCATAGCAATCACCATATATGTAACAACTCAGTAGGTGACAAGTCAAAATTCCCTCTTTACTGCAAAATGTTTTACCGAAACCTTAATTAAATATCAGTAAGAATGTCATAATAATGCTTACTTCTTTTTGTCTTCTCCCTTTTTATGACACACTAAAATAATCTTTTGTAATTTGAGCAGATAGTTAAGATCCTGAACTCGTACACTCCAATAGATGACTTTGAGAAAAGAGTGACTCCATCATTTGTTCGGAAGGTCCAGGTAAGAGCTGCCACTGCTGTTTCTATATTCAGCTCACAGGGTACTTCACACACATGAGTTTTGATGCTTTACAGTTGTTCTTGGCCTTTACATCACATTATTACTAAGTAGCTCATCTTCTAGGCACTTGAAAGTGATGCAAGCAAATCTGCTTAACATCATGAAAAAGCAAGATTTGCCATGGGAAGAAAGCAATGTACTGGCTTTGCTTTGATTCTTAATTCATTGTTTTCACACTCTTTCTGTTCTGATTTCAGGCTATGCTAAACAACCGTGAGGATGTCCCACAGCTGATGCTTGATACCAAGCATCTCTTCCAAGTGACGTTTCCTTTCACCCCCTCTCCGCATGCTTTGGAACTGATACAAGTCCCCAGCAGCTTCAAACTTGGCTTTCTCACGAGGGTTTAATAAAGCCAGTGAATTGGTATTTCCTCAGAGACTCTATAAAGACAGCAGACTGTCATGGTTCATTTCACCAGCTGCTGGATAGTATGGCAGCATGCAGTGAATTAAGCTGTTAAAAACTTGTTCCTTGGTCAAGACTTGAAGAGTAGGAGTAATTTTGTCTTGTTATTTCCTTCTCCCTTTTCTTACTCTTCTTCCTTAATTTCAGTCCTACAAGAATAACTTTATATCATCACCTGGACACAAAGCTTACCATACAGTTTTTAGTCCACAGCTGACAAGAAAAGCATTTGTCTGACAAGTCTGCATTGCTGCCCTGTCAGCAGCAGTCAGAGGAGAAGACTGGCATGTGATAGATGTTACTGCTTTACAATTTTCTTTGCCTTCACTTCCTGTAATGAGAGGGGTTTTTTTCTTCCCAAGGCAATTCAGTTCTTTGCCTTGATATATTTGAGACTGGCTTTCACCTTTCTGTGAAGAGGGGAACTGAGATCAATCTAAGAGAATGGCTGTTACAAACCCACAATGTCTTTTTGTAGGTGGGCTGACTCTCTGAGTGCTTGCACTGCAGCTCAGGCACTCTGCACAGCTCCTTGGCCAGAGCAGGGGCTTAGGTGCTCTTCTTGGAGACAGGTTTCAGTTCTGTTCTCTGCAGTGCCAGGTTTGGATTCAATATCGGTTATTGTAATAGAAAAGTTAGACATAAAATTCATGCTATGATCCAGGTTTGAAGTACAAGCTTGGTTCTCTGAAAGGCAGGAGTCATCTCCTGGTTTGGTTCCATCTGCAGTGCAATGAATTTCAGAATACAGACTGAGTATGCACACATCACCTTCCTGCCTTTCTCATTTTGCTGGTTTCCCTCCTCCAGTCCAGAGACTGAATAGGAGCAGATGCAGCAATTGTGGCCTGGTGTTAATGATAAACCAAGCTTAATTCCTTACATTTCACCTTTGCTTACATAATTTCAGTTGCAGGATCTTTAAATGCAGAAATGGTCTCCTTTCTGCTTTGTTCAGCCTTTTCCCTGTGGTCAGGGAGTAAAACATAACTTTATTTAGTTCTGGACCCTGTCAGAACAGCAGGGCAAATAGCATTCACCTCACCACAAGGGTGACTGTCCTTAAATAGGTAACTAATGCTGGGTTTCTAGCTACTCTGTTTCCTATAGTTCTTGAAATCAGTACTAAAGCTCTGAAATAGCTAAAGGAATATAATATAAATAGCTAATTAATTGAGTTAATTTAAGGAACAATTTCTTTGATTTTTTTTTACTATTACTACAGTGTTAGTACTTGTTTAATTTCACAAACAACCTTTAAGTATAAAGAGGGAATCATTCTTGCTGTTTAGTGTTCCTGGTGCTTACCATGTACAGTGTCATGTTCCTGATGATATCCACAGAGATATAGTCAAAATATATGAAGGAAAATTTTGTGGTTTGTTCAATAACAATAAAAGCTGTACAAAAGATAACACATGTAGTTAAACTATTTTAACATATTAAATAAAGTAGTTTTAAATCAATTTGTAGTTCTTTGTGTGATGCAATAGTTATGTTTTCAGTATGGAATCATTTAAAAGAAGTTACTTGGAACTACGTGAGCATTTGTGAGTGTTGTCAGTCTTGTACTGCACCAGAAACATTTATTTAATTTAGTTGCTTTGCTGTAACATTGTGTCTCTTCCTGTCAGCATTGTGTGCTGTCCTTGGCTCCTCATGAATTTCTGGAAATAGTTTAATGGAAGCAACTTTTGTTGCTGCAAATTGTGCACAGCCTTTTTTTGCAGCTCCTGGAGCTGTGTGTCTGTTACCTGGGCTGACGTCAGGGAAACCACAGCCCACTCTTGCATCCACATCACAGAGAAGTGTCAAGGTGCTTGTGCTCTTGTGACAAAAATTGTTGATCAAGGAAAACTGTTCTGACAATTTGATGCTACTTTGAGAGCTTTTTGTGGAGTGTGCTATTAATCTGTGTATGCAAACAACAAGGTATATTTTTAAAACAGAGTTTAAAATTATCTGGCTTACTGTGTGCTCTCAGAACTTATCTTGCTTTTGCTGATGTTAATGCCTTCAGCCAGAATTTAAATGCAAAACTATTTTTGATCTCTGTTATTCTTCCGATTATAAGGAGCAGTTTTAGTGAAGGGCATTAGTGAGGTTAACTTTCCTAGGATGATGCTAAAGGAGAAAGGTATTTCATTCAAGTGGGAAAGTGTTGAATGGTGATCCTCACTGCAGTGAGGAAGCACTGAAATGGCTTATGGAGAGATGTGTAAGATGCTTTTGGCATTTCTGGATGTGTTTAGACTTGTGACTTCTGCAGTTTCTTGGAATAGAGCTTAGCAGCACAGGTGGTCCCTTTGAGTTCTGTGCTCTCATATTATTCTAATAAAAAATATTAGGACTGGTTACTTTTACTCAAGTCTCTACTGGGCTGAGGTTCAGTTCTGTCTTTTTTCCCTCAGATCCCTCTGACTACCAAATGTGAAATCTAATGGCATTAATTCAGTGCCTTCCATAGAATCTTAACAATAGATGTGACCTTTGGCAGTTCTTAAATTTTTCAGACATGTTTTCATAAATATCCCAAAAATTTTTTTGAAGAGTGCAAGAAAAGCAGCAATTTTTAATCCTATTGACTTTAAATTTGCTGTCTTAGAACACGAGAATCGTAGAAGTATAACCAAGGAAGAGCCAGCATGGACACTAATCAATTTGTTAGACTTGTAAGTTTTTGTAAGAATATGAGATAAACTTAATATTGGCAGGGCTGTTTGTCAGAATACCAAGCTGATAGTAGGAAAAAGCAGTTGTCAAGTATATTTCAACTTTAGTATATGTTAACAAGCAAATACTTGTTTATAAACAAACCATCAAAAAACTGCTGTGTAGACCAGGTAGGTGAGGTCTGGCTTGCCTAATAGTTTCTGTTCTTTATTTTGTGTTCTAAAAGAAGGCAGTTAAAATAAAGTCATTATCAGTAATCCCTAGTATGTAACTGATCTGAGGTGATGCAACTGGAGAGGCTGAGCTTTAAATACCTTTAAGTAGAATTAATGGGAAGGTTGTCTTTCTACGTTAGCAGCTGTACAGGGCTTACTTAGCCATCTTGAGAATCTCCAGGTTCTTGCTCTCTGAAAAGGTGGGTAATTTTTTTTAATTTTACAACAAGATTCATTGTACAGAATTTCTCTGTAATAACACATTTCTTAATGATTCACCATCTTTAAATTTCTAATGTAGCTTTAAAAACCTAGTAAGGTTAAAAATTTAGTCTACAGTGCTAGAACTTGTAATGGTTTTAGACCTCTTTGCTTTAAATATCTTTGTAAAATTGTCATAGTGATGGATTTGTATACTATGTCAGGAGCAATACTGCTTTTTAATTATTCACAACTTTTGGTGGCTTCTCTTGTAGTAGAAGTTTGTAATGTGTCATAATCTCATCTGAAGTAAAATACTGATAGGAGGTACGATTCCTCCTGTACATTACTCCAGCGAATTCTCATATTTTATCAAAGATTAATTCTGCCCAGAGTATTTATTCCAAGCCTAATACATCCTTGTCAGAAGTGTGTGGAGAACTGATGACATTTCGTTCAAATATGATCAGTGGTTCCTCAGGGATCACTAATTCTGAGAACCTTGGAATAACAGGTTATTCACTTGTCAATGTCCAGTTTTAAGAATCTAAGAGGGCTGAGCCCAGGCACTGCAGGCATTTTACAGAACTGAGAAGCTCCCTGGAAAGGGTGGCAGCTTGTGGCCTTGGGTTCACATTTGCAAAAAAGTGCATTAAAAGATTCAGGCCATATTTGCTGCTTTTCATCAAGTGGAATATAAACCTCCTTGACTGTTGACTGAAATCTCCATGCAAATTTTAAATTACTACACTGCAGTTCCTTCCAGGACAGATTTCTTCTTCCCACAAGTTTTGGGATGAAGTCATGCATCCACTGGAGACAACACCAAAACTTTTATTGACTTAAAAGTGGGCAGGATTTCTGCATTTATTGTCTTACTTTTCAAATAGTCCACTGAAATATGTAAGCATAAGCAGCAGGATGGAGACAAGTACACAGAGCAAAGTTTGATTTGACTTTTGTATAATGTCCAGCCAGACAAATTCTAAAATGTCATAGGTCATTGAATTTCTTTTGTTCCATTTAAATCTCTCTTACGATAACAACTTCTGATTGTTTACCACAAATTCATTTTTTATGTACAAGTCTAAATATTGTTTAAAACTTCCATTTTTAGAAGAGGTGAAAGGTCTTATTTTCCCTATGAAAAATGTACAGACAAAAATGACACTGCAATATTATTCTCATTTGTTTGTCTCACTCTCAAGCAGTTTTTAATACTCTGTTGGTAGTGCTTTGATCTTAGAGATGCCTGGCTTGAGGACAAAAGTGGATTTGTAATGACCCAGCTGTCAGTGTGCTTGAAGCATCAATTTCTGCTTGAACAGCATATTGATCATAATATTTTCTAGCTGCTGCTGACCAAATCCTAGGTCATATTTTCAGCTTTAAAAATAATGCATAATAATGACTATTTTGTAATGCAGTGGAAAAAAACCAAAATTTATTGATTAGTGCAGGTTTCTCCCAAGTCCAGCTGTTGCTGTGGATTTCAGGTTATTGTCTGCTGGCAGTGGCTAAGTACAAATTAAAAGTACTTTCCCACATGTAGTGAACCCATATGCACAGCACATATTATAATGGTGTGCAAATATGTTTTCCTGTATGTTTTTCTTCATAAAAAAAGACTCTGCAGAGCACATGACTGTCTTGTACATAGTGACAGTTCATCCAGCCTGAGAGATTAGGCACAGAGAGAGATTATCCAGCCTACAGATGTCTATATACAGCCTAGGCTCCTTAGCAGGCACAGCAGTGGTGGGAAGCTCTGTGCTGGACTTTGTGCATTGTGAAAAATGTATATTTTATTATTGGCTTTTCGCAAATGTTAACATGAATATTATATGTGTTGT